CTGTTTACCTGTTAAGTCGAACATTAAAGATCCTATGACACTATTCAACAAGAGAAAAGGAGTCTCTCTCAGTGCCCTGGCCAACAGTCCTCAAAATGAACTTGGTTATTCATCTCAAGGCTGTTGCGGGTCTATTTTGTGTGCAAAACAGCTAATGCATTCACCTATAAATGTAATCACTTTATTCAACCGCAAGTACTGTGAAGTGCTTGAAAAGGTTTCTATGTGATAAGGTGCTACATAAAAAAAGTGCAAGTAATTTGTTTATTTGACGAACATACAGAAAGTGCTTCATATCATGCAACTAAGTATGAACGAATGAAGAAATGATCACAGCAAACTTAACCTAGGACACAGCAAATTAAAGAATGTGTCTCTTTCCTCTCCCCAAATTTAACAGCATCTCCAAAACAGTTTGCAAAATTACTGTAGCTTTCGAATGACATTGAAATATGTTCCCTATTTAATGGCTGCAGTAATCTCATTGATTAAAAACGCCTTTGCATTAGTCATTTGTCACCTGACAATTATCCAACCGCAATTCATTAGAGCAAAATTATCCACTTCCGACATTCTGATAAACTACGTATAATTTTTAAATGAGCTACAACTGTTCAGCTAAACGTAGACTCTGAGGTAGGTATCATTTGGATAACACATTAATTCATTACCACAAACAATGTTAAGTACTGTGGTAATTATAACTAACATAACTTTTTGGAAAAAAAAGTATTTGATATAAAAATAATCTTTACTAATACTGTATTACAACATATTAATTTCACTACATTTTCAGAGATTCAAGTGTCTGATGAGTGTATCACTAATCACATAGCAATGTACTTGCGCACTAAGTTGTCCCTCATAATTCTTTGGAAACGACCCCTATGAACACCCTACCTCTTGATCAGGAAATTGATAATAATCAAAATCCAAATTACCTGTAAAGTGATTTGAGACCTTGACATTATTGGAGTTATATTAAGTGTAAGAATTATTATTATTTTCATCATCTTGTGTTTCACCTTCAGGTTTATCATGCCATAAACTGAACAACATTCCCAGTTTAGCACAACATTGTCTCATCTCTCTTGTATAATGAAATAAATAATCCTCCCTTCCATCATCGGCTGTTATTTTTACTTTCATTGAATACTTTTTTCAGTTCTTACTGTTGAAACATTTCCATAATTTCAGAATAAAAGCAGTTCCCAAATGGGTTTTAACTTCTTTTTTGCCCACTGTAAAAAGGAAGTGGAAGCAGCATTAAATATCAATTTAAACAGGCATTCCAAAGCTTTTCTTCCCTTTTCTGCAGAGGTTCAGCTCAAACATGATAATGCGTAATAAACGATCAATCATTTCTTATCACATTGTTCTGGATACCTTGTTCATTTCAAGTAAGCTACACCACACCATTCATCCACATCACCAATGCATTGCATATAGAACCACATAAATTGATTTACAATTTTTTAAAATAACAAATGAAAAATACTCTCGCAATAGGATTACTAGCAGTGAGGACTGAACAAGATCCAGGGCCCAGACTCTCCCCATAGTAACCAGATCCATTCAGATTCCTAGACTCTGAAGTCAGATTATTCATGGTCAGAACACTGTACTGACAGGCACTGCCACAGGCTCCTTTTGTCTAGTTTACAGAGGTTCTGTGCTTGAACGAGTTAGCGAGGTATTTTACAGCATCAGGCCACTTCAGTATGGCTGCTACTTTTTATTATTACTATCAGTAAATGTATATTACATAGACTAGATCAGACAATCATGGAGAACATAGAGTGCTATGATAAAGTGTACAATTTCTCAGCCACAGGATGAACACCATGCCTTCTAAATTCATGAAAGCCTGTGGTCATTAAAACGTGTCTACACCTCATTTAAATAAGCGAATGAGGTTAGCTTGCAGCTGAATATCCTTAACTCAGGACATCATTTTTATCCAATGCTCAAGAGTTCAACTTTTGGGGATATGCAGGTCATGTCATTAGGAAAAAAAGATACAAGCCAATTATTTTTGTATCTCTAATTAGAACCTGACATTACCCGCAATGGCTTACAGGAATGAAACACTGAAGATTTCTCAGCACTCTAAATAGCAGCCGCTTTCCAAGTTTGTGATCTGTAATGTGAAAATCAGCTCAAGTTTACTCATATTGGGAGCATGAATTTCAATATCTGTAACATCAAGTTCAGATAATGTCCCTGACAGTCATTTCGCAAAAGGTGATTTGCCTCATCTGGAAAAATCTTTTTCAAAGGGCATGCAGCTAGGCAACCATTTGTTTTAGTTTGTTCTCTAGCTAAAAAATACATTAAATGCCCTTAATTAAGTTATCAAACCAAATGTGAAGAATTCCAGATTGTGTTTAGCCCAGAACATAATTAAAAACACCCGCAATCCTCTATGTACATGTGATTGCACACGGTTAAATCAACCTGCAAACTAGACTTCACTAATGAAATGCCCCAAAAATTATGGATCTGTGGATTCTTGCATGTTCAACAAGAATAACATTTTGAAATGTCTTCAAATAATGAATGCCCCAACTCCCATGTCTAACAACCATAACACTAGCAGAGCTGATGCAAAGTAAGATGTAGGTTTTCTTTTAATTTGCTGATCTACATTGTTGAAAAGAAAACTTATATGACTTACGTAAGATATAAAAATCTCTGTCACCTCATAAATCATCCGTCAATTGTAACAGCAATTACTGGGGACAACTTATTTTGGTCAGATTTGTAGAGTTTGTCACTTTAAGAGCCGGGAATGATCAAACACTTACAGAATCTGCTGGCTTTCATTTGGTAATACACTATGTTGTATGGAAATATAATTTGATGTTTTCCATGCAAAAAAATTTATGTTTTCCATTACAGATTACTGAGACCTGCAAACCTCAGGCTGTAACCTTTAACTGAACACCACATTGATCAAAAGCAATATCTAATATGTTACAGCCTAGTCAAATGGAATGAAGCTTTTTCTTCTGTTCTTTGGTAGGGTAGCAAAGCAATCATTACCAGATATGAATGCTATCTTGCTCATAATAGCATGTGTCCAGCATTGCAACCTCATTACCAGACAATAGAAAAACTGCTAATGTTTATGAATTAATCCACTGTTGGCTGACTAAATCCCAAATAAGGCAAAATCAAGCAGATGGAGGACTGACAATGTGAATAAGAGAGAACATTATATAATAATAATAATCCTTACTATTTGACATATCACCTTATTACTGTGTCGTTGAGACATCAAAGCGCTTCACAGAATATATTGTAAAGTGTATTCTGCAGACAAAATGTAGCAGTCAATTGTGCATAGCAGTGCCCTACAAACATTTGGATGGAGTGACCAAATTATTTTGTGGGGAGGGAGGAATTATTACCCCCAGAAAGCGATCTGGCAATCGACTAACAACCAGGTACCTACTTACTGCTAGGTAAACAGAGGCGTTTGGAGTAAGGAAACTTGCCTAAGGTTTCACCCTGCCCAGGAATCGAACCTCCATATCCATACCATGTCATGACACGGGTCTTGGCTCATTAGGATTTGGTCATGGAATGTAACAATAAAGTTATTAGCAGCAGTTGTTTTAGACTGAGCTATTTTAATTGACTTGTTATGATTGTGAAAACAGTGAAGGAAAAGATAATTTGCCATTAGTATTTCTAAAGATAAAAGATTTGTTGAATAAGCTACCAGGGTAAACCATCACAGCTCACAGTACGAGTGAGTTTCAAGAGGTATTTCTGGAAATAAAGGGTTTGAAGGATGAGCAGGGTTTGAGAACTATCCAACCGATTTGTTGGGCGTAGTGGTCTTTTCTTGCCTCAAAAATTCTTAATATTTGACTGAGTTAATTCCGATCAACTCTGAGGAACAAAAGGATTCAATTAAATTTCAACACAACAACTTGCACTTTTAAAGCGCCCTCCACTCAGGGTAGCGTCTCAGAGAGCTTAACAGTGGAGGAGCCTGAGTTCCAGTTCCACATCTGGTAATGTAAAATTTAGGTTGCACTCTCTTTTCCTTCAGCAAATTCTACATTGTACCATGAACATAGTACTTGACTTATTCAAGAGATAGTCAGACAGACAGTCACAGCTAGATGACTACAAGTGTGAATACAAATAGGAATAATCAAGAGCAAAGATTGCACAGAAAGGTTTTGAATGATACAGTGAAATATACTGATGGAATAGCCAGAAAGAAATTGCTGTTAACCCTAATCCACAGATCTGATTACAGTGGAAGAGAAAATAATGGGACAAATCTCCTTTTCTCATATTACTCTCTAAGAATCTTTCACATGTGGAGGAAAACAATTATATTTGGAAACTCATATTTGACCAGAATACTCTCTTCACAGCATCAGACAACATCATGTGCTAAAAGTAATGAAGATAAAAAGGCACATCAAGGCACATTGCTACAAAGTTCAGGATCCCAATATGCTTAAATGCAAATATCAATGAAGAGTTGTGGTGTGCAGAAAGTCACCGATAGGCTTGAGTGCTGGGTAATACTAAATAAAAGTATTTAACTCTAAAACCACAGTGGTTATATAAATAGAACACTACTGGCCAGGTGTACATTATACACAATATATGAAGTCCCAAAACAGTTGTGAAAATACAAGTCCTAAAAGATTGATTGATTGATTCTTCAGGCACTGAAATTTGGTTGTATAATCAAAGCCAGAAACAAGAAAGGTGCAATAAATTACTGTAATGATAGTTGGACATACTGAAGGTCTTTTTTGAAAGCAACAGAAAATTCTACATTGTATGTAGAATGATTGTTGGCCCCATTTGATCTCAACCTTCCACCATATCCTACGATCCCACAATTACGACTCAACCCATATCTTAAATTTGTCTTTTTTTTCTTGAACCATCTTTCCTAGTAACCCTTTCCAGCTGTACATAATATTTGGTGTACCTCAACATATAGATTTATATTTAAACATTACCTTTGAAAGACTGAATGGCTCGGTCCACCAGCTCTTCAATGCGGTAACTGGCGAGTTCTCCTCTGGCATGCTTGGTCTTGCAGTACGTGCAAGCGTTCAGGCATCTGTATTGCAATAATACAAAGTTTTAATGAATCAATGAATTGAACAAGTCAAATAATTGCACATGATGTTGCAGTCCAAAGGTGTTCTATATAGATATAGTGATATAATGATTTAGTTTATAGTCGGTCATGATTCCAGTCAAGATTTTTATTGGAATAAAAGAATCCTTGGATTTGATATAGGTCCTATAATATCAAGACACTAAAAAATGCATCACAGGAAAATGCTGTCAATGTTGTGTCTGTGAATTTGTAAGAAAATACGGTAGACAATTTTGCAAACTGAAAGGACCCCACAAGCAACCACAAAGTGATAACCAATTTATAAAGGGGACCATTGGCCAGGACACCAGGAGAAACTTGTCTTTTTTTTCAAAATTGTTCCATGGCATATTTTATCTCCATCTGAACAGAGAGACTGGACCTCAGTTGAACTTCTCATCAGAAAGGCAGTATTTCAAACAATGTAGCTCTTCCCCAGTACAGTATTGCACTGGTGTGTCAATCTAGATTAGGAGCTCAAAGTCCCAATGTGGGCTTCAACCAACAAACCTCTGACAGTGAAACTGTCAGATAGTGCTACCAACTATAGTTTGAGTGTCTTGTAATTTCATTGTATTACTTTTAATTAGTTCATTAATATTGAATGCGGCAATCAGATAACAATGTTAGAGCACTCGCTTTGCGAGCGAGAGACCCGAGTTCAATTCCAGGCAGGGCGAAACCTTGGGCAAGTTTCCTTACTCCACATGCCTAATAATCCCTCCAAAAAACAAAAACAATAATTAGGTTGGTCATTTTCAATCTACGACTGTTTGTGGGATATTGCTGTGCGCAATTAGCTGCCGCGTTCGCCCACAAATATACGGTCAATTCACTTTACAGTGTGTTCTGTGAAGCGCTTTGGGACGTCCTCCCGACGTGAAAAACGCTATATCAAATGCAAGGATTATTATTATTATTATTAATGCAAACATTATACATGCATTCTTTCTGCTAATATGTATAATCTAAATGCTCAGAATGCAAAGGAACTATTACATATTATTGCAAAACACCAACCAGTTGGAGAAATTTAGATTCTGCTAACTAACTGTCATAGAAAGTGGTTTCTTACCACTTGCTCTTTTCAGTACAGGTTCATACTACAACTGTATGGAGTCTAATGTCTAGTTGCTGTACAAATATGAACCACGGCTTATTTTTCTCTTCATTTTCCCAAGTGGACAACTTGCCCAACTGACCTTCTGGTCAGTCCTGCCTGGTGTTATACCAACAATCACCATCAACCCCTGCATCATATTGGGAGCAGATGAAGTTGGTTTAAATAAGTAAATTACCTGACTAGGTTATCCTTTTTAATTCTATCATATGTGGCAGCTCGTGGAATATCAACAATTAATGCTTCAGCTCAGGATGTCTAAAATTCCGCATTTCCAGCATTGGGAAGTTAAAAAATTGGCAAAACATTAGTTGATAATAATTTCAGTTCCCTCAATTTTGTCTTCAGAAGAAATACATAATGCTAATTGCACAAAATATCTAAAATTGAGAAATTTAGGTGAATGGACAAAGCCCAAAAATATAGGACACAAAGATGGAAAAAAGCAGTAATAAGAATAATAGTCCTTGCATTTGATATAGCGCTTTTCATGTCGGGAGGACGTCCCAAAGCGCTTCACAGAACACACTGTAAAGTGAATTGACTGTATATTTGTGGGCGAACGCGGCAGCCAATTGCGCACAGCAATGTCCCACAAACAGTCGTAGATTGAAAATGACCAATTTATTATTGTTTTTTGTTTTTGGAGGGATTATTATTAGGCATGTGGAGTAAGGAAACTTGCCCAAGGTTTCGCCCTGACCTGCCTGGAATTGAACCCAGGTCTCTCGCTTGTAAAGCGAGTGCTCTAACCACTGAGCTACAGGACTGCACAGTACAAATAATACCAAAAACAAGACGGCCATGAAGACAAATTTAGTGAATGCTCAAATGCTAGTGACTTGTATCTACATGTGCAGTGCTAGAACTTGTAGTCAATAACTGAAGGTATCTAAGGAGATTACAAATCACTAAAGTGTTCCGAAAGCAGAATTCCAGAAGTGCCTACTTTAGCTGAAAAACAAACTCATGTTTGTACAATGGACTAAAACTTTCTAGGTACGTTTCTACAATATTTTATTATTTTCCATCTTGTAAATAATTTGAAAGTTAACAGTAGCTTTGATAGCTTCTGCAGGAAAAAGGTCTCAAAGTATTTGATTCGGTGCCTTTCACGTTGGGAGGACATCTAAAAGTGCTTTGCAGGTGTTTACTGTACAGTAACTGTGCATTTGTAAGTAAGTCAAGCAAGGTCCCACAAACAGTCGTGGAATGAATGACAGATTTTATCTGGGGGATTGTTGGCCAGGACATCAGGAGAAACTTCCTTCTCTTTTTGAATAGTGTCATGAGATCTTTAACTTCCACCTTAACCGGCAAACGGGACCTTGGTTGAGGTCCCATCCGATGAACAGAAATTCCAGCTGATGGTATTTGTAGATACAACCAACGGATTTGCGACTGGTCAAATTTCCTGGTGCCTCTGTGAATTTTATAACCCCACCATAGCTCAGAAGATATACAAAGACGTCTCTCGCTACTTCAATTTTATTATATTAAATCAGTTGGATGATTTTTTCAAAACAAAACAATATTTTCTTAATTATTTATCTAACCTACAAAAAGTAAAATGACTATTGCCAACTTGAACTGGGGAAAGTAAAATGATTGTGCCTGAAACTTTCATAAACAGCCTGAATTATAGAATTTTGCTGAAAATAAATCAATAGTGTGGATACACCAGTAAAATTACAAAACCTCTTTGTTAAATGTATGGAGAATGGTGTCATTTTTCAACAGAGGTATAATTTATTGATGTTTGAGCTGCTCTGATTGTAAACGAGGTTTCAGCCAATATCAGGGATTGCAATTTAATGCAACAGGAAGTTTTCTCATAATGAAGTTAAAATAATGAAAACCAGCTACTTCCTCAAGAAATACCTTATTAACTGATTTTGTGTGTGAAAACCATATGGATGTTTTTCATTATCATAAATATCATCTATAAATACTGTACAGTAAATGAACTATAATAGTTTACTAAATTTTATCCCAGAAACAAAGTTTGCAAAGTTTGGAACACAAAGTAAAAAGTGGATTAGAATCTTCAGATTGTTCAAATGAATTATTGCTCTTCAGTGACATCCTGAGCTTTTTAATGGAAAGCAAATGTCTGTCTTTATGGCCTATCTAACGCACTTTTTCCTTCCTTCTGAAAAAAAATCAATGCAACCATTTCAATTTACAGGAATGTTACAAAATTCCAGGTAAGTTCCTCCACAGTAATAAGATTTAAGGGATTCAACTTCTGGCAAACGTTGTCAAGATAGTTATTGAAAGCAGAAACCCCACTATTCATCACTCATGGCCAGAGCCTGAAATCAATCAGGTTTAAGGTCATCATCCTTCCAACATAAGACAGATAATGGCAGTGAATACTGTACCGAGAAATATAACTACTCCCCCACCCACCACTCAATAAAAAAAGGGAATATTTTGTAACAAAGAGTTAATAGTTATCTGAGCAGGACCCCTCCATTACAAGCAATTTCACAACCACTGGCAAAATACATTGTGAATGCCTATGCCCCAGCAAATGCCCCCCCAAAAAACATCATAAATACAGGTCAAAATATTCTTCATTTTATCTGGATAGTCACTGAGCTAATCAAAACTATCAAATAATTAACATAGATCTCAGCAAAATGCTCTCAGGTGAAAATAAGCTTTCCACTTGCTTTCAGCAAAAGCCTGTCCAAAAAAGGGAAATAGATTGGTAACTTGAATGGCAAAGTGAGATGGTACATGGTTATTTCGCCTCTTGGATCTGGGCTCTAAATCAGCTAAAATCTTCTCTTTCAACGGATGTCCATTGGATTTAATGCTATTTTGGACACTTATGAAAATGAAGTTGGGCAACTTCAACTGGCAACTAGTAAGCACAAGTCTACAATAAAATATGACTCACATTTGATCATAAATTTGTTATCTCGGTTAGGAGAAAAAAGGTTGGTGTAAGAAGAGAGAAAACAAATCACACTCATACAGTAGGGATATTTTGTCTGAGGCTCAGGCTAAGCTACATTGATTAGGCAAAGTAATGAGTCTGTGCTTCATCGACCTGAGTATGTTCAGTGCTGGAACGTGCAAAATAGAAACAAGTGACTTGCTTTTGACATTCATGAGCATTAAACAATACAATAAACAATTAATTTATGTCTTAGAAAAACACCACCTGGGACATGTGCGTCTTGTGTGGTAAAATGGGGGAGGAGTGTTCTTGATGACAGCACCGCATGTGTGAAGTCACTGAGAAACAAATCAGCATTTCAGTAAAGGCTGCAACAAAACAATCACTGCTCCAATCTTCTTACCATCATTCTAAACTCACTACTAGCTTGCTTCAATGGAAGGGAGTCCAGTAACTCAGGGGTTAGAGCACTCGCTTTGCAAGTAAGAGATCTGAGTTCAATTCCAGGCAGGGCGAAACCTTGGGCAAGTTTCCTTACTCCACACACCTAATAATAATCCCTCCAAAAAAACAAAACAATAATAAATTGGTAATTTTCAATCCATGACTGTTTGTGGGACATTGCTGTGCGCAATTGGCTGCCGCGTTCGCCCACAAATATACAGTCAATTCACTTTACAGTATGGGACGTCTAGAAGACGTGAAAAGCGCTATATCAAATGCAAGGATTATTATTATTATTATAAGGGGAGAGAGCTCAGTAAATGCGTGGGTTTCTTCAGGTTCCTTAAAGGTAAAAGGCTGTTTATAATTAATGCGGAGGCATATCGTAAGGGGGTAAATACTTTACATTGTAAGAATTGCCACTTCAGCAGGAATATTCATTTAAAGGAGCATTGTCTGCAATTACTCACATATTCTGAAGTG